TTGAATATGGCCACTCTACATTGCCTCAGTTTGCATGTGTAGCCCAACTCATACCTGGCAGTATGGCAGTAACAAAATTCTGTTCACATGCTTGTCTATAGAAAACCAGCCAGATATGAGTTCAACTGCAGCCTTCATCTCATAGCTCCCAGAAACTTATACCCAGAGACATGCCCACCCTCAACCATGGAAATCAGACATAGTTTGGAACCAAAAGTGACACAACAGCATGTGTGTTTGCACAAGGGCTGGCCACATGGTATTCATGGTGGAGGGATGATATGGGGCAAAGACTTCCTCTGCCTCTGCAGTTTCCCAGTCCTGAGGTCTTTGTGTTTCCATGATGACACCAACGCACAGAGAGAACCAATTTTCGATATTGATTAATTGCTAGCCAATTTTGTTTTTTCAGAAAGATATACAATTGCTGCAAAGATGATCCCATTTATGTATTACACATCTGCATTGTTCTAGAAAACCCATCTGACACTTCCTAATTTGATACTTTTCAAAGTCCCTCTAGAGCTGGCTATGTGCATTTGAAATATCCGCCAAGCATGTGTTTTCCTGTGGCTGCATTCTAAGCTATTGACGCATAATGAACAAAAGGGATACAAAATGCGCTGTTATAAGTTTCTCCTTCTCTTTCATTTTTTTTTCACTTTCATCACAGGGGGAGTAAAAGAGACACAGAAAACATGAGCCTTGCTATATGGAATTTTAAAGAGGTGCTCCAAGGTTACCTGGAGATGGGAACGGTGTCAGAATCACTTCTGATGAGAATTCCAGATCCTGCAAAATCTTAAAACAGCCGAAGTTCCTTAGTTCTTCAGAGCTTGTGAGGTTTGCCTGTATGTTTCAAAACCAGTTCTCCTCTGAATATTCCAGTTTAAAATTCTAGCAGAAAAATGTGTAGAAATGGAGTGGGGGGCAGTTCGAAAGTGTCTCATTTGCAAATGAGATGTTATTTTTATGGATCTGTATGATGTGAATATAATTGGGAACTCTAGTAGGAAAGTAAGGTATGCCAAAGTTTTAACTATGTTTTACTGGTTTTAACTAAATGTTTTAACTTATGGTTTGATATTAATAATGTTTTTTTTTTTAACTTTTGTAATTAACTCTCCTTGAACGTCACTGTGGGAGAAAGGCAGGATATAAATTCTTGAAATAAGTTGGGTTACGGTTGTGGCAATAGTGTCATAATTGTGCCTAAGTAGTGATCATGAATACAGAACAGTTATACATGAGTAAATCTAGGTTAATGTTCTATATTCATAATTGCTACTTAGGTCCAAAACACACTGCAGAAATAATCCAGTTTGAGACCACTTAAACTGCCCTGGATCAATGCTAGGGAATTCTGGGAACTGTGTTCTTGTGGAACATTTAGCCTTCTCTGTCAGAGAGGTTTGGTGCCACAATAAACTAGAATTCCCAGGATTCCCTAGCACTGTATCAGGGCAGTTCAAGTGGTCTCAAACGGGATTATTTCTACAGTGTGTTTTGGACCTTAGTCACGATGATGATACTATTGTCATGGTCATACCCCCCCCCCCACACACACTACTTCATCAGGCATTGGTTGCATAGGGAGAAGGCGATCCCTTCTGCTGGGTGAATGATGTTTCTATAAAGTTTGGGTGGGGTGGGGATCAGGCCAGGAGAGGTTACTTAATTAAGTATACTTAATTCATAAAGATTTAATCTAAGTGAAGGTATAGTTCAGAATGCTTGTTGTGTAGACCAACAGTGCACTGACTCTGAGAATAGGCCAATATCGCCTAGACCAAATGCCTTTTAGATTTTTCACAGGGCAAGTCTGAAAGCCTAACATGAAATGCGTCATTGACAAACATGCAGAGAAAACCCAAAGATCCCCTGATCCATTGCACCAGTAAGGGCCGTAAACCCTTTGAAGTGGAGCTTCGCTCCCCAGAAAGACACAGGGGACAGAGGAAAAGCAATAAAATATTCAAAACCCACCCCTCTCCATATCAAAAAATGAATATTTTATGGCCAGAGTTATTTACATCTTGTGTCCCCAAATAGCCTTTAATTGCTTCTTACCCTTGTTCCCCTCTTGACTTTAATTAAGTTTTCTTTCCCCACCTGTCAAAAGTTCCAACAACTGCCTTGCAGGTGAGTTTTGTGTCATGTCTTGTGCTGTTAAGAATAGTTTATGGACATTATTAAGAATCATGTAACTGCTATTTGCTTAGACCTCTCCCATACATATTTTAGATTCAGACTGTATGTGATATATGTTTTCAAATTAGACCAGTATTCCTCTGCATTCAGTCCAGTATTACCTATGTAGGAATGTACCTACCTCAAACTGTATTTTAGTTATAGATCTGTTTGAAAAGGGAAATACCAGCTTTGTTGAGGACCTATTAGCTAGTGTACCACATCACCCCTCTCTAAATCAGTGGTATACGGTAATTTCTAAGGTGTGTGATCTTGTTCTCCCTTTGATGTGTCTTCTGTGACAACAATGTCTACCTCAACTCAACTTGAATATCGTATCAATGAAAAGGTGGGCACTATATGAACTTCACCCCTCATAAAGAGTTGGAGTGTTGCAATGAAGATTTAAGGAATTTGCAATCCACAGCATTTGAAGGGCTCAATGATTTCCAACCCTGTATTAGTGTCTGCCCCGAGAGTCTGGAAAAATACTTTTGGGACTGCAAAAGACCATGCTGGCTGGGAGATTCTTGTTTGGGATCTGAGGGTCCCACAAATAATTTTCCAAACCTCGCTTTTTCCCCTTCACCTGACCACTCTCCATCTTGAATTATGCAGCAGGTGCATGCCAGCAGCCATTTTAATTATCCATAATGTCCTAGTTTTGTATCCCTTAAAGGTATTGTGAGAAATGTAAAAGGACAAGTGTCTTACCACTGCTAGACAACCCCAAAAATGATGGCTGTTGGTGATAGCCGGGGTAGTAATTTCTAAAGCAAATTTTAGTATCTTGCCAGGCTTCTGGGCCACCAGCAAATTGTGATCTGAAATCTGTACCCATTCCTGTGGATTAACACCACCTTTCCTTTTCCATTGTTTATTGCAAGTATATTCTCTTTAGTAATATAATAAGTGATGTTATTGGTGTATCATTTTACAAGAATTA